ATCTCATTCACCCCCCTCTGCTAATCCTTTTCCAGGTTCAGTGATTGTTTGCAGTTTTCCTCAGCACCACAGCTGTGTTCTGGCCTGAGAGCTTTGTGATGGGATCATCTTTCTGTCTGGAATGTTCTTCTCCAGGTATTTTACTTGGCCAACACTCTTAAAATTCTTTTGTCTTTGCACAAATAGCTCCTACTCAATAAGGCCTAAACTGACCACTAGATTTAAAATAAAATAAAATTTTCACATCTCCTCTGGAACTTTCCTGTATATCCTTTTTTTCTTCTTGTCTTTCCCATGGCATCGATCACCTTTCGACACATTACGTTATGGACTTCTTTCAAGTCACGTATCTATGTATAATATATATATGTGTATGTGTGTGTAATTTTGCATCCCTAAATAGCATATAATCCCATGAGGGCAGTGTTTTTGCCCTTAAAGCACACTGAGCATCACGGCAATACCTGACACACAACGGTAGTGAAAGAAAATACTTGCTGAATAAAGTACGCATCAAGTAAGTATGGCAAGTGTGGAGGAGAAGGTCTAAGGCGGACAGAGAAATATCCACACACGCCTTCCTTTGACCTGTAGGAATCAGAGTGGGTTTAATGATCACTCTGGGCTTGTTTAAAAATTCCCTGCGAAAGCCGGGCGCTGGTGGCTCACGCCTGTAATCCTAGCTACTCAGGAGGCTGAGATCTGAGGATTGCGGTTCAAAGCCAGCCCGGGCAGGAAAGACCGTGAGACTCCTATCTCCAATAAACCACCAGAAAACCGGAAGTGGCGCTGTAGGTAGAGCGCTCGCCTTGAGCTGAAGAGCTGAGGGACAGCGCCCAGGCCCAGAGTTCAAGCCCCACGACCGACAAAAAAAAAAAAAAAAATTCCCTGCGAGAGCGCAAATCTCGGATGGGGTGCAAGCCACCACGGTTCAGCAAGGCTGCACCCCCCCCCCCCAGCCCCCACTCCCCTGCCCCCCCCAGCCCCCACCCCCCCCTGCCCCCGGCGGCGCCCGCCCGCCCGCGGCCGGCCCCGTCCCTCGGAAGTTTAGGCTCCATTCTTTCCTCGGTGGAAGTTGGCCGGAGCCAAGTTGGAAGCAAGTTTGCGAACGCCGAGCGACGCGGCGCGGGGATGGGGGCGCCCAGGACGTCTCCCCACGGTGGGAGAGACCTGCCGGGCGCTGGGCCTCGGCTCTCCCCAGGGCCGGCCGGAGCCGCGGCCCCCGCCCCTGCCGGGCTGCTTCCCCGGCCTCCCCCCCCCCCCCGGGGCTCCCTCTCCCGCCCCTCCGTCTCCAGCCCGCCCGGCGGGCGGTGAGGGCCGACTCCAGCCCCGGGCCCTCCCGGCGCCTCAGAGCCCACTCAGCCGGCCTCCCCGCCACACTCACCACTCCCTGAGGGGAAAGGCGTTTCCCGCCGCAGATAGCTTAGGAATGGCGGGGCCAGGAGCCGGGCGGAGGCGCCCCCTCTGCCGACCCCCCGGAGTCTCCGGCCGTCCGAAGCCGCGGAGCTGGAACGACGACCCGGAAGCGCTCGCGGTACCTGGAAGTGACACCAGGGCGGGGCGGAGGCTCCGCCCATTCGTGCTCCGCGCGTCGGTCTGCCGGAGGGGGCGGGGCCTCGGAGAGGAAGGCGCTGGTTCGCTGGAGTAAGTCCAATCACTCGTGAGAGATGGGTCATTTCTAGTGGTCGCTGCTCCACCGTAGGTAAGCAACGCCGGGGGCTCAGAGGATGTTGTATGCCCGGGTTTTCCTCAGCGTGCTATTACAGAAAGTGCAATGCAGTTTTAAAAGCTTCAGATATGTGCACAGCAGCCTCGGGGCAAACTCAATAGTGACTTAGGCTAAATGTATAAACAAGTATTCCTACCAATGAAACCTTCCTAGCAGGTCTACAGACTAGATAGGTTCTTATTTACGCCATGTTTCCTATTTTCAGTCTTTATTATGGGGCTTGAACTCTGGGCCTGGGCGCTGTCCCTCAGCTCCTCAGCTCAAGGCTAGTGCTCTACCACTTGAGCCACAGCACCACTTTCGGTTTTCTGGTGAAGAGTCTGTCTTTCCTGCTGGGGCTGGCTTTTGAACCGCGATCCTCGGATCTCAGCCTCCTGAGTAGCTAGGACTACAGGCAGAGCCACTGCAGCCTGTCTCAGTCTTTTAATTCTACCCTTGTGTTCCTTACAAATGAGAACAATTCTAAGTGATGAAATACATAGTCGGGTTAGCAGGCCGAATTTTTCACCCTGTCAGAACAAGAAGCACCCAGGTAAGCAAAAGAAAAAGTCTGGCCTAGCTACTGGTCACTCACGCCTGTAATCCTACATATATATGTAATACATAAAATAAGGTAAAAATAAGCCAATTAACCACTCAAAAACCGGAAGTGGAACTGTGGCTTATAGTGATAGAATGCTAGCTTTGAGCAAAAGAGGTCAGGGACAGTGTCCAGGTCCTGAGTTCAAGCCCCACCACCACCATCACCACCAAAAAGTAAGTCTGAAACTATATGAAAGGCTTAGTAGATAATTCGGTAAAAATCTGGTAGTGTAATTTTTAAAAAGTTAATAAACAAGGCACAACAAGCTTTCCAATTAATTTATTGATTCATTAATGTTGCAAAAATAAGATGTGCAACAAATCAGGATACAAGTCATTGTATTCCTGATAAGTCAGGAAAAGAAAATATTACATCTCTAGTAAATCATGACCAACCCAAGTATTTCTTACAGAGACCAAATGACCCATTTTGTACACATATAGCAGGACTGAATGTCTCACTGTGAAAGGACAGTACTATCATCTCACTAAAAGGTCACAGTACTTTTGTCCTGATAACAGCATGTGAACTTGTAATGAAAACATTTTTGAAATATATATATGTGTGTATATATATATATATATATATATATGAATGAAAGTGCATCAGTGTCTGAAGAAATTCTCAGTTGTGTTCTATGTGAAGAGTTCCAAGGGCTATGCAAGTCAATGGCCCTGAACACCACCAAATATTAGCTAGGCTTATGTAAATAAACCACTGTTAAGCAGTTGTTAATGTTCAGAAAGGCTGTATACAAAAAGTGCAGTGCAGTAGCCGATATTATTCAAGTTCTCCTTTTTACAAACGGGATATGAAAATGCAAAAAAAACTTTAAATGCAAATGTTCTGCCCTTTTTTTGGATGTCTGTGTGATGGAATCAGATGGCTATCTGAAGCAAACAGATTCCTATCATTCTCTACTAAGTTGAATGTACTAGTTTTTCATTTGATGCACCATTTGTTACGAGTGTATTTGAATTTTCCACAGCATTTTAAAAGTTCTCAAACAACGGGGCTGGGAAGGTGGCTCAGTGGTAGAGCACTTGCCTTGCATGCATGAGGCCCTGGGTTCGGTTCCTCAGCACCACATAAGCAAAAAGAAAAAAGCTGGAAGTGGTGCTGTGGCTCAAGTGGTACAGCGCTAGCCTTGAGCTGAAGAGCTGAGGGACAGCGCCCAGGCCCAGAGTTCAGGCCCCACGACCGGACCCCCCTCCAAAAAAAATAAAGTTCTCAAACAAAAGAAATTATATCTATTTTATATACTTGCAACAAGTTATTAAAATAAATTTATCACTGCCTAATTTTAAAACTACACTGCAGTTACCATTCAGAACTTTAAAGGAAAGTTACCTTACTGGGCCTGACTGGTGTTATGACAATGAGAATCATTAGAAGGGAAAGGGACAGAAGAGCTCCTCCCAGTCAATTCTTTTGAACTAGCTTAGAACACTGCCTTCATATTGCCAAGTTCCCTATTTGGCCTTGCCAACTAACTTCTTAACTCTCCTAGCAACTCAAACTTCACGATACCCATTCTCTAAATACAAAAACATGCCAAACTTGTAAGTATACTAATCCTATTCTCCATCCGAGATTTCCTTGTGATTCATTTCTCAAATATCCTTAAGGATGGGAAAAAGAATCACAAAAACAAAACAGAATAATGTAGCTGTCTGGACTGTAATCTGATCATTAGTAATCTACTTTATACCACCAGAATGAGGCTGAAACTAGTCACCTGACCAACCCTGTCAAGAAACTTGCCTGTTCTAGTCTCAATGCTCACTCATTAACTGAAGAACACCAACAAGGCACTTCTGCATTAAATCATTTCCCACATTCCCTGAGCACCCATACAAATAGCCAAATACTAATGCTTATGTAGTCATCTGAGAGGAGTCTATCAAGAAGCAACCCTTTACTTCTTAAAATGCCGGAACTGTGGGCAAATGAAGAAATAAGAACTACAGGTATTTACTTATCTAGCAGCAGACATCAATATTCAGACAAGTAGTGATGTCCATTATGAAAACCTATACAATATTCCTCAACAGTGAAAAAGGAAATTAAATCATAAGCTTCAACTTGGGCACTGTAATTGCGAACCCAAACTGTTCAAACTCGCTTGTGAAAAATAGGTGAAGGAAAACAAGAACTCTTACATGGGTTGTAAGCCTTTTTTAGCTTCAATCCAGTCTCCTATACTGTATGTAGCCTTCAGCTTTTCCTGCTGGATATAAAGAAATGGCACCACCTGCTGCCCTCACATGTACTTTTTCCCTTAAGAGTTACATTTATGACATCTAAGACTTTATCCCTTCATAGAAGTTTTGTTTTTCTTTTTTTCAGCTATGCAACTACAATTACTTAGAAACTATTTCTCACTGGGGCTGGGAAGGTGGCTCAGTGGTAGAGCGCTTGCCTTGCATGCCTGAGGCCCTGGGTTTGATTCCTCAGCACCACATAAGCAAAAAGAAAAAAGCCGGAAGTGGCGCTGTGGCTCAAGTGGTAGAGCACTAGCCTTGAGCTGAAGACTGAGGGACAGTGCCTAGGCCCAGAGTTCAGGCCCCACGACCGGACCCCCCCCCCCCCCAAAAAAAAACCCAAAAAACAAAACTATTTCTCACATCCTCCTCATGCTCTTGAGTTAAAGACTATTCAGCTTTAGTGTGGGGTCAATATACTGTCAGTGCTGCTTAGGAATATGAATAAGTAGAACAAAGAATTTCTTGATTAAGACTTGACTAAAAAGGGGAAACACAGATAACAAATGTAACAAAGATGGTGAAAAACATTTGCAATCTAAACCAATGAAATTCAATCCATGATCCCAGGAAAAAGACACAAAAACCTACAATTACAAGTGCTTTCATTTCAGTCAGTAATGGTAAGTAACATCAGATAATACAGGGAAATGTTACAAAGTACAAATAAACTTAAATACTTCTAAATATTTTATAGACGTGAAATATTTATTGTGGGCACATTCCATTAAGGGAGAAGTTAAAGCAGTTCTCCTTTCAAGGCTGTGATTCACAACATGTCTCCATCATTATAATTCAAGTGTTACCAGTGTTCCCTTTGGAGGCTTTTCTTTCCTTTTGAGACAGAAATCCTGCACTGTAACCCAGGCTGGCTTTGAATTTACCAACTCCTGATTCAGCTTTCTGAGAGCTGGGGTTATAGGTTTGGACCACCATGTCTAGCTGTTCACTTTGGATTTTAATACTCTGACAGAACATGGCTTACTTCTAATATTTGAAATGTTAGAAAAATATCACCTTTGAAAGTTGTTTCTGTAAGTTAGGAACACTGAATGCAAAAGCAAAAGTCAATAAACACAATAAAGAGTTGAAGTTATTCTTCTGTTTTTGAAATTGAAGAGCCAAGTACTTATTGTGGTGGAAAATCACCTACCCAAAAGCTCAGTCCATTTTGAGATGATAAAGTCATACAGATGAGCTACAGCTTGAAATGTCTTCCAGATACAGTATGCAAATTACAATGAAACCAGACATGATCTTTATTCATAATCCTCATGTAGTAAAAATTGAAAAGGAATGCCTAGGTAGTTACTATTAAGTTAGTTTTTCAGCACAAAGTATTTCTAAGGTTTCAACAAGTAACCAGGCTTTGGCTTAATTTACGGTAGTGACTTAGTACAGGATGGACATGTTGGATCAAGGTCAAGGGGCTACTAGGGAATCCCCATAATCCTCTAGTATCTCTCAAAAAGAAAAAAAGAAATTCCTTTTTGTAACAGAAACTTTATACTAAAGAACAAAAACAAAACATAGTAAAAGACACCTGTGTTCTTGCAGGAGAGAATCTGACAAGCTTAGTTTACATCTGCTTCAATTTTACTAACTAAAGCTCTTAAAAAAAAGCTTTACATGAAGGGCTAGACAGTGTGACCTTCAAATACAGAGGATATTAAGCTTACTAAATATACCTGTAACACTTAGTATATGACATAGTTTGCCAGTTTGTTGTAATAGAATTATTATATGTAACTAAGCTTTGTTTGCAGTCACAAATAAAATTTATTTCAATGTAGAACAAATTTTTCATGTTTCTATTAAATGTCCCAAACAGCACAATGCAATGGTGCTCTATGACTTGCAAACTTAATCTAACTTATAGTATTGTCAAACAGAATTCCACAGAAAATTGAAACATACCTTATGTGACTAGGTCAGAGTACTGAGTTCAAATAAGTGACATAGAAGTATTTTGGTAAAAGTGCCCACAGTGAGAGCAGTTTCAAAAGCCAGCCCACTTTCTACAGGAAAGTTGTGACAGTGAACACTCACCATATTCTCTGCAATGCCACATAGCACTCACACATTCATGGGCATGAAACCCTGGACACACAAACTCATTTCACATTAGTGAACATATCAAAGATTTTTTTAAAACAGTTCTGACTTTGGGCCAGAAGATAAAATATGCCATATATACATATATATAATTCCTAATTCCTAAGCCTCTTTAAAATTTCTAGTTCTAAAAATGGCTTTTTGACTTGTCTTTAAAAAAGGAGAAAGCGTGCAATGCATTTATATTTGCACTTCTGAATTAAGGAACAATATATGCTAAAGTGAAAAAAACACTTGGGATGGTATTAATCTACTTATACTATGTACATGATCTTTGGGTATTCATGAGAATCTGTTTATCCCTCAGAGCAACTTAATTTTCTAAGTCACTCAGGAAATGTATTCAACCATTTACAAAAACAAAAATTCTAACACATTTGCCTGCACATTCTTCTACAAGGTAAGTATACATTAAAAATATTGCTCAAGACATAAAAATATATATTATTTCTTTCCTTTGCCATTTATGCATATAAATATTTTACTGAAGATGTATCCATCATTCAATAAACAAATGCAAAAATTGCTTTATATAAAGTGTAGTTCTCTGCTATTTAGCAATATAAAGTATAAAATGATTATTAAAGAGTAAAATTCAAGACATTTGCAAACCAGTACAGCAGTGAACAGTTCCTTGTACAAAAAGTCCATTAAGAAAAAGTCAAGTCAATTTTGTAACAGATTACATAAAAATAAAAGCAAAAAGAGCACTGCTTCATCAGCACATTCTTCCCTTCTGTCTGGACTAGATGCCAAACTTACTGTTCACTCTTCGGTTCATCTTGTTTTCCATTAAGTTCTTGATCAACTCTGTTTAATTTTTTTAAAAAAAGCAGAAAATTAAGCATCAACAACTTTCTTTCTAAAAATAACAACTTTTTCGCATAGAATATTATTCTGTTAAAAAACAAAGCTTTGCAAAGAAGCAGACATGGTAAAAAGATGACCAAACATTATTTCCCCAACCAGAACGATAAGAGAACTTTTATACGGCAGGAGGACACTGGCAAGAAATGTGTATGTTGATTCTTTCAGAGATTACAAAAATACATACAAACACATTTCTTAAAAGTTCACAAGTTGAAGCTTGGCTACAGCAGGTATCCAGAGATTGGCAATAGGAAGAACAAACTCCCTCAATAGTGATTTTAACAGAAATATTAAGTGTCACTAAAGCTACCCACTGATCAATTAATATTTTAAAATCTAGTAATAAAATGCATTCTAATAGAATTAGTCTCCAGAATTCATTGGCATACTTTGTGAATGCCTTTTATTTGTTTTGATAGTAAGAAGCCATAAGAACTTAATGTTCAAAAAGTATCTAAATGTGCATTAAAAAATGTTCCTGGACTAGTGATCAGTGGCCCCAGCAAATTTAGGTACATGGAGACTTGAAGAATTACACAATAATTATAGAAACCCTTCAGAGGTCATGCACAACAGTCTACTGCTGTTGTATCTGCAGTATGAGTCACTGGTATGGAAGGCAATGTTTCAGGCCACCTGGGACAATGTAGGAAGACACTGTCCACACTTGTTTCCATCATTTTGATCATCAGCATTCATTATTAAGATTACTGGAGTATGTGTGAAACAGACCTAACAGCCGTGACGTAGAGCCTAACAGTCTTGGCCTAGGACAACTCCAGATTAACAACATTTTAAATGTTTTTTATATTGGCATGTAATATTTACCCAATTTTTTTAAAAATTGAAGTATGGCTAAGACCTAATACCATTATTATTTTTAAACTCTATTGAAACATAGTGTGCCTGGCCACACTACAGTGTTTGAAAGAAACTTTAGAAACATTTAAAAATGCTCACTATTCATCTTTTGCCCTCATGATAAACCTAGTGCTTATGGAGATGTTAACTTTAACTGAAAGAGTTTCCACACTACTTCCTTTTTTTTTTTTCTTCTGTTGGTTATGGGGTTGTGGGGCATGAACTCAGGGTGGGTGCTGTTCCCGAGCTCTTTTTGCTCAAGGCTAGCATTCTATAACTTTTAACCACAGCTCCACTTCCTAGTTTTCTGGTGATTAATTAGAGATAAGAGTGCCACTGACTTTTTTGCCTGGGCTGGCTTTGAACCATGATCCTCAGATCTCACCCCAGCTTCTAAGTTCTGGTTTCAAAAACCTGTCTCTATATTTATCCATGTGCTAATGGTTTATGCTTATAATCGTAGCCACACAGGAGGCTGAGATATGAGGATCTCAGTTTGAAGCTAGCGTAGGTAGAAAAGTCTGAGAGATTCTTGTCTCCAATTAATCAGTATAAAAGCTGGACTGGAGTGTGGTTTAAGTGGTAGAATGTCAGCTATGAATGGAAAAAGCAGATCTACAGCTTGACACCCTAACTCAGTCCCAGTAAAAAAAAGAAAATTCAAAAAATATTCCTCCATCTAAACTTAATAGAAAAATTATTCTCAAACTGACAATAATTTCTTATTAAGACTAAACAAACTGCATACTACCCAGTGTTTGAGATATATCTAGGCCCTGTTTAAGTTTAAACACAAACAAAACTGAAAAACAAAAATAATCAAGCTAAAACAGTAATGATAGTTTCAAACAAGGCATTTAAACAAAAAGCATAAATTCTTTTTTTTGGGTCCGGTCGTGGGGCCTGAACTCTGGGCCAGGGCACTGTCCCTCAGCTCTTCAGCTCAAGGTTAGCACTCTACCACTTGAGCCACAGCGCCACTTCCGGCTTTTTTCTTTTTGCTTATGTGGTGCTGAGGAATTGAACCCAGGGCCTCGAGCATGCAAGGCAAGCACTCTACCACTGAGCCACCTTCCCAGCCCCAAAAAGCATAAATTCTATATTTTCTAATGCTAAATTAATTTTTGATAGTTGAGTAAATGCTAAGAGCATTTTTAGAAAGGACATTATGGAATGTATTTCATCAATAAATGCAACTCATTTTGAAATACAGGAAGTAGCTAGTTTCAAAGTATTCTACAAACTCAGATTGTTTTAAATTTCATCTATGTGTCTAGAAAATGTATAGCAATGTCAAGAGGGCATGAGAAATAAGCATGATCTAAAGTCACTTTCTACATCTCAGTGTTGGCTACACCATTAAAGAGCCACTTAGAAATGTGATTTTATTACATGGTTAAGTAAGTTCTCACCAACAGAGGCAAAGCTCATTATTAAGAATGTTCCAGCCGGGTGCCAGTGGCCCACACCTGTAATCCTAGCTACTCAGGAGGCTGATATCTGAGGATCACAGTTCAAAGTCAGCCCAGGCAGGAAAGGCTGTGAGAGTCTCATCTCCAATAAACCACTAGAAAATTGGAAGTGGCACTGTAAGAGTGCTTGCCTTGAGCTGAAGAGTGCAGGGGCAGTGCCCAAGCCCAGAGTTCAAGCCCCACAAGTGACAAAAAAAAAAAAAACAAAGAAAAAAAAAAAGAATGTTCCAGTAACCATTTAGTTGTTTCCACAGATAGTCAAAATAATACAAATAAATTTCTCATCTTAACTTTTAAGGTTCTATTAAACTGTGTTTTACTCATCGGTGAACAATTAACAAATCTACAAACAAGATGGATGTGGTGGCACATACTTGCAAGCTAACACTAAGGAGGCTGAGGCAGGAGGAGCGCTGGGTTTGAGGCCAGTCTGGGTTACATAAATGAGTGTTTTTAAAACAAAAAGTTCAAAGTAAGTGTATTAACAAATTAGAAACTAATACACTTTTCTGAATTTCCATATAAACTCGTAACTAATATCTTTGCCTTCCATCTTCTGTGCCAAGCTTTTAATAGACAATAGGTTGTTATGCCCAAAGCAGAAGTGTTCAAAAAATATTTAAATGAAAGCAGAGTGTTTAACTGTTAAACGGTTCATTTAGGTATTTTATCACATGTAGAATTTGACTGGTTAGCAGGCTATTTAATTTAAGCATACAAGGAGAAAAATGTTGGTTAGCCAAAGAATATATGCATTGCAAATATAATTATCAACCCCAATAAAATAAATTGATTCCTTAAAAGCTTCTGTGAAAATATTTATGTGGTATCAGACAGGATCCTGATGGCCTTCAACTCATGATCTTTGGCCTCAGCTCCGCAAGTGTTTGGACTACAGGCCAGAAACACCAGACCTGGTTAAGGGCTAATCAGATTTTTCGTTTTTAGTGCTGGTGATCAAATCCAGAGCTTTGGTAGATAGGAAAACACTCTATCACTTGAGCTACATTCCCAGATCTGCATAAATATTACAAAAGCAACATTTGAGTCTTCTGGTATTTTAAATACTATGCTCACTTATAAGTTCTTTGGTTTATTCAGACCAGTAAGGAAAGAGGGGGTTGAATTCTTAATTGGCATTATATCTAGTATTAAAACAGGGTGAATCCAAGTCATATTCAGCATCAGAAACTTTAGATTCACCTTGTATTGGATGTTGGGGTATAATTATATTTACAAGTGCCTTTATCTTTGTCTACAAGCTAACCAATCAATAAGAGTTAGTCTGTGCAATGCAAATGGACTAGTCTAGATGCAACCCAGTCAAGGTGTGCATATACCTTTTTTGTTTCTTTTTAAACTTTTCTTCTTCATACCTTGGTAGGGAAAAGTTATTTCAGTAAATACATGTTACGAGATTAATAAAAACATAAACAAAAAAGGTACTACTAAAAAAAAATTTTTTTTTAAGTTTGCAAGCCCAACCGTTTAAAAGAAACACTATGTAGAAAACAAGGACTGACTCAATAAATATGGCTTGGTTACATCAAACTAAAACCTCAGACTAACAGAACACAGAAACTTCTCTATGTAACAGCAGTGTGATGCTCAATTATTTATGTTAACAACCTAATGCCAAGTCTTTTTAGGGGTTCAAGAGAAGTAAATTTAGTAACCAGAACAAATTCCAGTCACTGGAAAATACTGAGGTTCAGCTGATTTAAGTAAATTTCTCTATAGCAACATGATATTTAAAAATAGCACGAAAAGTTTACACAAATTTTGAGAGTAACATGCTACAGTAAGTTTACACAAATTTTGAGAGCAACACCCTCTATTTGGAGAATGTTCCTTGGTATTGACCAACCACTGTATCACTTCTCAGACTGTAAAGACTTTATAAACACAAACTGAATCTCGACCAGGAATCACTTCTCCTAGTTCTTCAACTGGGAGCCTGAAGAACAGTGACTTCTGGGAAGACATGGAGAGATGGCTTCTTCTATTTGTTTGTTATACATATATGAAGTGAGATTAAGTATTGAAATACAGTACACCTCGCACATCAAAATGAATGACTCAATGCAATTTAAGAAATGAAACAAAACGTACTGTTTTATGCATTCTGGTATGCCAACATATTCCATGGGAACAAGCTCCGCTAGTTCTGCCAAATTAAAGACATATCTAATTTTTTGGCTGAATTTTGAGCTGTGGAAAGAAGAAAAAAGAAAATCAAAGAAAAACAATTATTTCAATAGTTCTAATATGACAAGAAACTTATACAAAGAATTTTTTTTAATCTCAAGAGCTCTCAGAGATTACCTAATAAATGGTCTTGTAACAGCCAGAAGTGTCCTGATAAACCAGGAGGGATGTACAATAATTAGGGATTTTAGGTTTTTCCGTAACCTGGAGTTTAAAAAAGACAGAAAAGTTAGGAATTTCTACAATTTTTAATGCTAAGACATGTGCAAGTTTATACAAAATAACTACAAAAATAAGCTATTTCAAACTTCTCAGTTAGACATGAAACTCCTAAAGTCAATATGGTCTTGAAATCTGAGTGTCCCGCCTATTCCTATGAAATAAATTTTAGTAACGTTCTACCAAATTTATGTCTATAGTATAGCCTGTTGTTAAATGTCTCCTAGTAATACATTCCAAGACTTGGTCAGCCAGGCCAATAATGACTGTAACAGTAAACTACTTTCATGTCTCAAGACCGGGAGAAACTGGAACTCACTCTCAATACCGTGTCAGGCAGTGCATAGGCAGACATGCGAGAAAAAAATGACCAAAGCAGTAAGTACCATGAAGCAGATCTAATGGTTATTCCTGAGTACTTTAAGACTTTGATTAGGGCTGGGAAGGTGGCTCAGTGGTAGAGCGCTTGCCTTGAATGCCTGAGGCCCTGGGTTCGATTCCTCAGCACCACATAAGCAAAAAGAAAAAAGCCGGAAGTGGTGCTGTGGTTCAAGTGGTAGAGTGCTAGCCTTGAGCTGAAGAGCTGAGGGACAGCGCCCAGGCCCAGAGTTCAGGCCCCACAACCAGACCAAAAAAAAAAAGGCTTTGATTAGGGGCTGGAAAGGTATCTCAGTGGTAAAGTGCCTGCTTTGCATGCATGAGGCCCTGAGTTCGATTCCTCAGCACCACATAAGCAGAAAAAGCTGGAAGTGGTGCTGTGGTTCAAGTGGTAGAGCACTAGCCTTGAGCTGAAGAGCTGAGGGGCAGTGCCCAGACTCAAGAGTTCAGGCACCATGACTGGCAAAAAAAAAAAAAAAAAAAGACTTTGATTAAAACTTGAAGGAATTATCCCAGATTTCTTTTTAAATGACCAACTATAAAGTTGTTCACCATGCATATTTCACACAGATAAAACAAGGACTCTATACACATTATGTGTATATATATTTTTTTGTTTGTTTAGTTTGGTTGGTTGTGGGACCTGAACTCTGGGTCTAGGCGCTTTACCTTAGTTCTTAAGCTCAAGGCTAACACTCTACTACTTGAGCCACAGTGCCATTTCCCAATTTTTCTGCTTATGTGGTGCTGAGGAATCGAACCCAGGGCCTCATGCATGCAAAGCAAGCATTCTACCATGAGCCACCTTCCCAGTCCCCCATGTGTATATTTTTTAAACCACAAAAGCTAATGTTTGAGTTGATTATAGTAGTTTAAATTAGCCATAAGAAAGTCAAACCAATTCGAAGACTATAGTATAATTTCCAAGCCAATAAATACAATCTAGAGTTTGTTCCAAAGGAAAATTATATCTAAATAAGAAACAAAATATACTATGCAGTCAGGTGCTGCCGGTGGCTCACATCTGCAATCCTAGGTACTCAAAGGCTGAGACCTGAGGATCTTGATTTGAAGCCAGCCCAGGTAGGGAAGTCCATGAGACTTTTATCTCCAATTAACCAGCAAAAAGCCGTAAGTGGAGCTATGGCTTAAGTGGTAGAGAACTACACGAGCAAAACCAAAAAACAAAAACCTCTCAAAGACAATGCCTACGCCCTGAGTTCAAGTCCCAGGACTGACATGAACATGCACACATGTATACACACACACACACACAAATATGTTAACATTACAAATTAGACAAAACATTAAATGTACTACATTCTCCACTCTTCCCCAAGGTACAAATTAAAATATGTGTTCCAAATTAAGAATAAGGAAAAATGAAGAACAATCTTGTAAGTTATTTTGAATAATTCTTTAGAAAGCAGACGAAAATTAATTGCTTTCTTGACTTTCCAAAATACTATCAAGAGTAGAGCCTTAAGGAAAATACCATTTAAGAAGTAAATATATAATCCTTAAGTGGCAACAGAAAACAAAAACCCAATAAATCCACTATAAAAGTCATTCACACTTGCTTTATGCTTATGTTTCCATTACCGTCTATCAATTTGTTGATAGCATTTCCTGAGCCATCCCAGACTGGGCATTTTTCTTCGAGTTGTTGCACCATTTAAATAGACTATCATGTAGTTTTCTGCTACTAACAGCTCCAAAGTGCCAATAACATATCTGTAAAAAACAAATTAGATATAATCTTCACTGTGAAGAACCGCACTGGCTTCTCCAAATTAATACAAGTCCCTTCTCTCCCACACAATGAGGGAAAATATAATTACAATTAAAACTGCATTAGCAGATATTATGATCATTTAAAATAGTAAGTTCAAGATACATATTAAAATGTCTATAGAATACAATGGACATTGTCTGGGATTTGTTTCAAAATTACACGGTGGGGAAAAAACTGGAAATGAAGTATAAATTGTTAACTGCTGAAATGGGTGACTGATAAAGATTTCATATATTTCTTTCCTTTTGTATATGTGTGAATTGTTTTTTTTTCGGTCTTGGGGCTTGAACTCTGGGCTTGGGCGCTGTCCCTGTGCTCTTCAGCTCAAAGGCGAGCACTCTACCGCTTGAGCCACAGTGCCACTTCCAGTTTTCTAGTGGTTTATTAGAGATAGGAGTCTCACGGACTTTCCTGCCCGGGCTGGCTTTGAACCATGATCCTCAGATCTCAGCCTCCTGAGTGGCTAGGATTACAGGCGTAAACCACTGGTGCCCAGCTACGTTTGAATTTTTCCACACTGAAGATTGTAAGACCTGGGCTGGGAATGTGGCTTAGTGGTAGATTGCTCACCTCCGCAGTACTATATACACAGAAAAAGCCAGAAGTGGTGCTATGACTCAAGTTGTAGAATGCTATTCTTGAGCAAAAGAAGCTCAGGGACAGTGCCTAGGCCCTGAGTTCAAGCCCCAAGACTGACTTCCCCCATCCCTTCTCCAAAAAAGATTATAAGACTCTCACCAACCTGAGATGAATCACTCTATGAAAATTGAAGAGTCAGCTCATTACATGGGATTTCTAGGGACAAATGTAATTTAGCCATGTGATTTTAAGCTGAAAGTAACTTCCTTAAATTTAATGTGCCTGCAAATGTAAAATAAATCAGTTGGGAAAAAAACCCCAAAAACATTCAAGACAGGGTCTAGCTACTCAGGAGGCTGATCTGAGGATCATGATTCAAAGCCAGCCCAGGCAGGAAAGTTTGTGAGACTCATGTCCAATTAACCACCAGAAAACTGGAAATGGTGCTGTGGCTCAAGTAGTAGAGCTCATGAGCTCAGGGATAGCACCCAGGCCCAGAGTTCAAAACCCACAACTGACAAAAAAAAAAAAAAAAAAAAAAAAATTCAAGAAACATTTTCTAATTTTAAAATGCCAATTTTCCTGTTGAGTTGGAAAACCAGTTTGACAATGCCTGAGAATAGGACATGAACAATTACAACTGAGCTTTTATACAGCTTAAGCTCATTTCCTGAACATAGAAGTCTAATTAATTCAAAATTCTATCACACATTTTGTTAGGCTATACTTACTTAAAGAGATTATCCATCAGGTATCTATAGTTAGGCTGGCCACTTTCAGGCATAAAACAGACAGCAAACACAACAATGGCATTTAACCCATCTCCATAATATCCTGAAAAAGAAATGAAGATGTGAGTTTACTCTGAAGACTTCCGAGAAGTTATTTGTATGCTTGTTAGGGAAAGACTGACTTCAACTAGCATAGTAAAAAGCCAGTCATATTTAAGCAAGCAGAAAAATATAGTGACATATACAAGCAGACACACATAACACACATCTGAAGTAAAGCATTCAAACTATGGTTAAAATGGTTGCTTTTTTTTTTTTGTCATGGGGCTTGAACTAAGGTCTTAGGCACTGTCCCTGAGCTCTTTTAAGGCTAGGATTCTACCACTTTGAGCCACAACCCTACTTCCTGTTTTCTTGCAGTTAAATGGAAGTAAGATTCCCAGGGACTTTTCTGCCAGGGATGGCTTCAAACCGTGATCCTCAAATCTCAGCCTCCTGAGCAGGCAGGATTACAGGATGAGCCACTGGTGCCTGATAGTGGCTGTTTTTTTTTTTTTTGTCGGTCATAGGGCTTGAACTCAGGGCCTGAACGCTGTCTCTCAGCTCTTCAGCTCAAGGCTAGTGCTCTACCACTTGAGCCACAGTGCCACTTCTGGTTTTCTGGTGGTTTATTGGAGATAAGAGTTTCCTGCCTGGGTTGGCTTTGAACCTTGATCCTCAGAGCTCAGCCTCCTGGATAGCTAGGATTATAGGCGTGAGCCACCAGCGCCCAGCCAGTGGCTGATTTTTTAAAAGGAGGTATTACAATAAAAAACTGGATATATATCTGACATATTCCTTGGTGAAGAAAACTACAAAAATGTATTTCAACTAAACCTTTAACTAGTAAGCTATATTCAGTAATCATGCTTAAAGTCTTTTCTATTGTCTGTACACAAAGTAAATAGATCTGGTATTTCAAGAACATTAGAATCTTTACTAGCTTTTTTAATAAGTCACGAAACATATTAAGTGTGGTAATCGAGTAAGGTAAGATCCCTAAAGAAAATCAAGTGCTATTTCTGAAAGGCATTAGGTTTAAGTTATAAGGCAAGCCTTACAAGTTGATTTCTATGAACTAGCTGAATTAATGCCTATCTGTGGCCTTTCTAACCTAGATGATCTTGCTTTCTTCATCTTGAATAAGATTAAATTAGGCATAAGAATGTAACTGCAAATATGCAAGTGATTTGCTTTCAGATGAATGAAGACTGTAGAGATAAGGGAGGCAATGTATTTGGTAGAGAGTAAAGTAAGTGGAAATGATTCTGTGTGAGGAAAAAAAATCAGTTTGCCTGACCTACTGGCTCCTCTGGGCAGTGCAGTGTTAGGCCTTAAGGAGACCAGATATGCTTTCCAGAATAAGCTGCATTCTGACCTAATATTCTGACACTATTTGCACAGTGCTATGCAAACTCTATATAGTAGTACAGTTAAGAATGACAGAAGTTAGAACTTGAATTTTCATTGCTTTCCTATTTGACTGTAAATTTCTTAAGGGAATGAGCTAAATTTTATTATTTCTGCACATCTTATAAATATACAAAGTGGGTGCTCACAGAAATGTGGAATGAACTGTTAAGTGATCTGTTCAGTGTTTTAAGGGAAATAATTAAGAGTTACAGTTGAAGACTAAGTTTTACTACTATCCAAAAAAAGACTTTTATAACAATGACTCAGTAGTTTTATTTATAATAATCCAAACTGGAAACAACTTACATCTCCATCAGGAGAACAGATAAGCAATGTAGTTTTTCCAGGCACTGAACACTCTTCAGCAACAAGAAGGGATCTACTACAGCTGACATGTATAACATGGATGACAGTAGCATACTATATAGTGCATAGTACACAGTTATAGTTTTATGTAATTTTAAGAGGCAAAACTAATCACAGAGAGGTAGGTATTAGAATAGTTGATACCTACTGAGGGGTAATAGTCATCGGAAAAGGGTATTAAAAAACTTCTTGGGCATAGATGTTCTCTGTTTAAGAGTAAGAATTATAGCTGGGTCCTGGTGGCTCACACCTATAATCCTAGCTACTCAGGAAGCTGAGATTTGAGGATCGTGGTTCAAAGCCAGCCCAGGCAGGAAAGTCTATGAGACTCTTATCTCCAATAAACCACTCAGAAAACCAGAAGTGGTGCTGTGGCTCAAGTGGTAGAGCACTAGCCTTGAGCTGAAGAGCTGAGGGACAGCGCCCAGGCCCAGAGTTCAAGTCCCATGACTGACAAAAAAAAAAAAAAAAGAGGATTAAAGACACGGGCATTTAGTTATAGAGGTATTAACTATATATTTATAGTATATAAATTCACTTTGTATGAAGTATAAAGTCATACAAAGGAAGAGAAAATAAACCAGTTTTGGGTAGTGAAAGATAGGTGGGAGGGAGTCATTTTTCAATGCAAATTTTTATGTAGGTTTTATTCTTTTTTTTGTTGTTGTTGGTCATGGGGCTTGAATTCTGGGCCTGGGTGCTGTCCCTCAGCTCTTCAGCTCAAGGCTAATGCTCTATTTACCACTTTGAGCCACAGTGCCATTTTGTTTTTCTGGCAGTTAATTGAAGGCAAGAGTCTCACAGACTTTCCTGCCTAGGCTGGCTCTGAACCATGATCCTCAGATCTCAGCCACCTGAGTAGCTAGGATTATAGGCGTGAGCCACCGGCACCTGGCTATAGGTTTTATTCTTTCCACTTCAAACCTGTTATAGTCCTAAAATGATGTAAGAATCATTTATTATTCTTCCAAATTCATGTAATATCTATAGGGATACTATGTATTAAATATTTTTTGTCATTACTGGGGATTGGAGTCAGGGCCCCACATTTAGGCAGAGCTCTACCCCCTTGAACTACTCCTTCAGCCTCTTTTAGCCTTGGCTAATTTCGAGGTAGTCTCCCTTTATACACAGGCTGTGAGCCTTATGCTTCACTATGTAGCTAGAAATGACAGGTCCTTGTCATCACGCCCAGATAGATACTAGGTGAGATAGTGTCTTGAGAACTTTTATGCCTGAGCTAGCCTCAAATGATGATTCCTCCATCTCTGTCTAGTGATATCCACCTCCCAAGTAGCTAGGATTGTAGGCTTGAACTACCACACCCAGCATAATGTTCAGTTAAGTCTTACCTCCATGGCTGATAACTTTTTTATAGGGTTCAATTGCCTTCATATCAACCCTGTGATCCTGTTCTCCAATCCTGAACATACGCCAGCGTCGTCCATCTTCTTTTTCCTCTGCTGCTGTGTATTCAGTAATTGAATCTTTCCTAATTACTTCAGTAGTTTTGGGTTTTGGAAGGTCATCTGTTAAAATAAAAGTTTTTTGAATTGCAAATTGTTATTTATGCAATAAAAATCAAATCATAAGTTAACCACTTTACTATCTAGATTGAAATTTTTTGAGATGGTACCTCTGTGCTGCCCAAATTGGCCTCAACTCCTAGGCTCAAATGATCTTCCCACTTCAGCCTCCCAATTAGCTGGGCATACAGGTGCACATCACACTGTGCTGATATAGGGGATTCTCATTATAGCATCTTTAGAATTTGAAGCATCTCTTCCAGAATACTGGAAAAGGCTTACTCTACCCTAATATGACATCATTTTATGTCTTTAGACGTCAGTTTTCTAAGACTTTTTTTTACTCTCCAATTTAACAAAGCACCTGATCATAGTGCAATGTATAGACACAAATTTAGAAAAGTGAATCCATATAGCCATCTATAATTTCTTTCTAGGGTGTCCACTTATGACTTTGTTAATGATAATTACTACTAAAGATTACTGCAATGACCAAGAGTCAATATTTTTAGCATATAATTTTCAAGCACTATAATACAAGATAGAAAGTGGTTAACTGCTCAGTGATCTTTTTCCATGTGATCATTCTGAAGAATGCATGCAAATATTTTCTTAAATTAACATTAGCCAAAGCACCAATGATTAGGTGTAATTTATGCTTGCAGATTGCAGTTTAGCTGATTTTAAATGAGGTAATGATTTTCAAAATTTTAGTATCATAGTCCTTACCAACAGATGGGGAAGGGGGAACCTACTGCATGTTAGTTGTTTCCAAGATAAAGCTGTTAACGGAAAATATCCTTCCAGGAAATGACTACAGCAGCATTAAAGAAAGAAGAGACAAAACACACAGGCAGAAAACTATTTCAGTATCTTTAAACATATTGCTTATTATTGGACTGTATATTGAGCCAGTAAAACTGTAGATAAAATGCCTAATGTTAAACTTCAAAGTAAAATCATTTTAAAGATGGTATATAAATTATTAACCATACAAAGACATTATACAGAGCTATTATTGTCTAATTCAACAAGGCATGCAAAGTAAGACACATGCCAATTCCTTTGAATTCTAAATAACCAAAATGATACTGTAAACTTGAGAGCTAAGTACACTTCAACTTGTGTTGGTAATTTTAAAGTAGAGCATCATTACATAAAGCGCCTTAAAAAATCACCCCCAAAACTGAGTGCCACTGGCTCATGCCTGTAAATCCCAGGAGTGTTCTTGTGAAGGAAGTAGAACACCATCTTAGAAATTGCCAGGTGCTGGTGGCTCATGCTACCTAATCCTTGCTACTCAAGAGGCTGAAAACTGAGGATCATGGTTCCAAACCAGCCTGGGTAAGAAAGTCTGAGAGACTCTTTTCTCTAATAAATAAACTATCTGGAAAAGCTGGAAGTGGAGCTTTGGCTCAAGTGGTAGAGAGAGATAGCTTGGAGCAAAAGAAGCTAAGGGACAGCACTAGGCCCTGAGTTTAAGTCTGAGGACTGGCACATGCACACGCACGTATGAGCACACACCCACACACCCACACTCCCCTAAAACTTCTCTTCAGAACTCTCTCTTTGCAAATATGTAAGTCCTTGTAGTGTATTCTGTTAAAACAAAACTTTATAGCCAAAAAGACAAAAAAAAAAAAAATCCACCTATATAATCTACTATACAGTTTAGAAAACGACAGAATATTCCATGTTTGCAGAATCTTGTACCTTAGTAACAATGCAGCTTAAAAGAATAGCTATTTGAGGGGCTGGGAAGGTGGCTCAGTGGTAGAGCGCTTGCCTTGCATGCATGAGGCCCTGGGTTTGATTCCTCAGCACCACATAAGCAAAAAGAAAAAAGCCGGAAGTGGCGCTGTGGCTCAAGTGGTAGAGCACTAGCCTTGAGCTGAAGAGCTGAGGGACAGCGTCCAGGCCCAGAGTTCAGGCCCCACTACTGGATCTTCCCCCCCCCCCCCCCAAAAAAAAGAATAGCTATTTGAAAAAAATCCCTTAACACACTGTTATTTTAGTAGGCTTTATAATTAAGTTTTAAGGTTTAGCAATTATCCTGCTTTCCCTAAAAAGAATGGCATAAAACACAGCTGTACATAATGACAAAGATTCATTAATGAAGCTTAATAAAAAACAATGAAACAATTACCTTCCCACTCAAACTCATTACTGTTTTCAGATGGGGTGTCTAAACCATCTAAGTCAATCTCCCCACTTTCATCCAAGTCATCTGACAACACAGAACCATCACTAGGATCCAGTGTTAGGCTAATGTCTGGAGCAGTTAGTTTCTTTCTCACTTTATTTCCATTAACTTCTGGGGAGCCTAGAATTGAAAAACAAAGGAAAAAAATGCTTGAGTTGCATAAGAGAAACATTTCAGCTACATAGTTCCTGAGAAAAACTTTAAACAAATAACAAAACATTAGTAATTTACAAAATTTGGATTTGATCTGTTCTGCTTCTACATCACTGGCGAGAGATCAGTGAAGTAGCCATGTTTTTTTTTTTAAATAACAGAGGAAGAGTTTGTAGTCACAAGTCCAAATATTTAATACTGCTTACTATGTATCATGTTAGAGTGAGATTATTCTATCACTAATAGCTGAAAACTGAATCTTCACTAGATTTCACATACTCAGTCTTTGCTATGCACAAATATATTTACTAATTTCAATAATTGGAAGAGCTTTAGGGTTTGAGGTATGGCTCAGGTGATAGAGTGCCAGCCAATGAGTTGAGAGCAACAGATACCAAGTTCAAGTCTTTTCTGTTACCAAGTAACAGTCTTTGTCTACCTCCTGCAAAACATTTCTAAAAACCAATCTTTTTTTATGTATATCTAAATTTCTCATGCACTCCAAAACACTTAATGTGCACTTAATTTCTCCAAAAACTTGGTGATTCTTTTTCTTGACAAAGAAATGTGTTCAAAATAACACAAAGTCCATCGAGAGAAAAGTGCTAAAGTACTTACCAGGCTGGCTCTCTGGTCCAGTTACACCTAGTATATCTGCTTCAATACTATCATCTTCTGGTAAAGGGCTGGAAGACACAGGCATAAGTATCTTTAACACAGAAAGTTAAAAAAAAAACAAACTCAGATTGTTAAAACATGATTTATATGTAACTCTATGTAACACATATACATATATAAATTGCTTAAAATCTTCTTTTCTTTTCTTGTGCTGGTCCTAGGGCTTGAACTTAGGGCTCAAGTGCTGTCTCCAAGCATTTTGCTTAATGCTGGTACTCTATCACTTGAGCCACATCCACTTGTAGTTTTTTGGTGGTTAATTGGAGATAAGAATCTTATGGACATTTTTGCCAGGGCTGGCTCTGAACCTCAGTCCTCAGATCTCAGCCTCCTCCTGAGTAGCAAGGATTACAGGCATGAGCCACCATTGCCAGCTACAACTATAAATCTTATGCAAAAATCAGACTATAAATAAATTCCAATGCATCAATACAATGTGTTGCATGACACAGTGCATGCAGCTATTTTCAATTACAATGAAAGCGTGGTAACGGTGGCTATAGTTCTGAGTCTAGCACTCCTCTACCACTATCACTGTTGTGTACTACCTTGCCTCAAGCTCTCTCTCCAGCTGTCCATAGTCCAACTGCTAAGGCACTTTACTGAGTGCTGGAAGTCTTCTGACCAAGATGAAATGGAACCATCACTTAAATATAAGGTCTGCTTTGGAAAGTGTCAAAGTGTCTTGCCAGAAGAAGAATAAGATCCTTGTTTATTTGTTTACTAAGTTTTTTTCTTGGAAAAAATCCATTCACTTTAAAAATTCGTAACAAACAACTAAAGAGCCCATTCTAGGAGGTCTGACCCACAACTTTTTAAAAAATACCACATTAAAACATTGTTTTGTAACAAGGGGAAAATCTGAGATTTAAGAGATCAAAATGAATATAAAGCGTTACATCCATATACACTTGTAAGCAAACAATAGGCAAGAGAATCATTCTGTTAAATGTTCATTTCTTTGTATCAAATGATCATTTATTAACACTACTTTTTTAAAAAGCCTAATATTCATCAAGTGATAACTCAATACATTCTAAGGTTTTGTTCTAAATTTGTTTTCAATGAAAAGTATGCTCACATTGGAAAATCTTCATCTTGCCATTCTTCTTTCAATTCTACACCTTCCATCCTCAACCTAGATTCAATGTCAACTTCCAACTCCTGATAATTCAGAGAGCCAATATTCTGTTAAGGGAAGAAAAAAATGGCAGGAATTTAATTTCCAGTTCACTTATTTGACGAAAAGGCACAAGAATCTTATATCTTAATTCCTCTATCAGTCATAGAGCTTTTAGTTCAATGATGTAGTTATGAAATCAATTTATCAAGCTGAAACTTTTTTCTTTCACAGAATGAGAAGACAACAAAATATAGGTAACATGAAATCTACTTGCAGTAAGGATATTGTTAGGTTAAAGTATTTGTTCACAACTGTATTCATACAGATTTATGTCTGGTTATGACTTAAAATGTATTTCATATTATGAGTTACATAGCAAATTGAAGTAGGAGCAAGATATTAAAAATAAACAGCATGGGGCTGGAAAGGTGGCTTAGTGGTAGAGCGCTTGCCCTGCATGCATGAGGCCCTGGGTTTGATTCCTCAGCACCACATAAGCAGAAAAAAAAAAGCCAGGAAGTGGTGCTGTGGCTCAAGTGGTAGAGTGCTAGCCTTGAGCTGAAAAGCTGAGGGACAGCGCCCAGGCCCAGAGTTCAGGACCCATGACTGGACCCCTCCCCCCCTCCCCCCAAAAAAAAGTTAAAAAAAAAATTATGTTCCAGAATAACAAAATTGCAGTGGAACTTTTAAATGTTAAGATTTCATATAATAAACTTAATTCAAATCTCTGTTGAGAGTGAAGCTGTTCCTCTTGTTTGAATGTTTACTTACGTCTTAGAAGGAGGTTTTGAACATTTAGAAAAAGTTGAAGAACCACTCTTTGGCATACAAAAAAAGCAGACATAACTTTTCCTGATCAAAACATTCACTTAGGAAAATTAGTTTATATGTATCAATGTATATATTTATAATTGTATATGGGTGAAGTATTTTTAATTCTGAGAAAACACTGATCTAAGTAATTTTAAGGAATTAAATACTTAAAAATAATTCTGACATATTTAGCAGTTTCTGTTTCTAATACATATGTTTTAATTAACACACCTACTATTATCATTTTATAGCCAGGTACATCCTAGCTACTTAGGAGGCTGAGATCTGAGGATCATGGTTCAAAGCTAGCCAGGGTAGGGAAGCCCATGAGACCCTTATCTCCAATAAATCACTCAGAAAAACAGAAGTGGCACTGTGGCTCAAGTGGTAGAGTGCTAGCCTTGAATGAAAAAAGCTCAGGGACAGTGCCCATGCCCTGAGTTTAAGCTGCATGACCGACAAAAAAAAAAAGATCACTTTACAGGCTGCATTTTTGTCAGCAACTCTTTTCTATAGAGGGAATTAAAAAAAAGGTACTTTATCAAACTACTTTTCTATTTAGAACAAAAAGACAGTCCAAGATTATAGTCAACCAGTCCAAATATTTAATACTGCTTATTCTGTGTCATGTTAAATTGAGATTATTCTATCACTAATAGCTGAAAACTGAATCTTCACTAGATTTCACATACTCAGTCTTTGCTATGCACAAATATATTTACCTAATTTCAATAATTGGAAAAGCTTCGGTGTTTGAGGTATGGCTCAGGTGCCAGCCAACGAGTTGAGAGTAACAGATACCAAGTTCAAGTCCCAGTCTTGGACCACCCCCCCCCCCCAAAAAAGAAAAAGCTTCCAATTATCTCATCTTACTGCTTTATTGGTTATTTGAAAAAAAGATCAGTGTTCTGCATGTCTTTTTCAAAACTACATAATATTTCAAAAGTAAAGACAGTGACTGAAAGTCGCAAACAATCATGTTTGGCACATCTACAAGCCTGAGATATTAAATGGATAAACATTTAACTGTAAGGTATGATCTTGGATAGCAAGCAAGCCTTTTGCTCAACCTCTTTGGTTTATTTTGCTTGTTAAATTATATAAATAGGATTCCTATTTGCTTTACCTCTAAAAATCATAATCAATTTTTGTGAGAATCTATATATATGTAATGTAAGTTTCTGTTGGTAAAATTATTCCTTATTTGTAAGAACTATTTCTCTTAAAATGTAGAAGATAACCAAACCTTTGGGCTGTTTTACTGCCTGAACAAAAGAACACTGACACAACCTTTAAAGGTAGTTAACTACAGAAAGCCCAACTCCTTCAGCCCTTTGAACCTTCTCAACTCTAATATATTGAAGCATATGACTTTAGCATACCTCAGGCTATGGCCATGGATATTTAGCTTAGGGGATGACTAATTAAGGTAGGAGGAGGAGAAATAAACATTGATTAATGGGACCATTCCATCAAGAACACTAGGTAAAATTAAGTACACGAGGTAGATAAAAATAAGTTAAACAACTATGAGAATTGACTCTTGGTAGCACTTTTATCACTGAGCAGCTGGATAAAACAGAAAACAAGAAGAGTTCATAAGGCTGGGAAGGTGGCTCAGTGGTAGAGTGCTTGCCTTGCATGTATGCAAAAAAGGGAAGAGTTCATATAAGTACAACTACTATGAAGAAAATCATGATATTGCTGACTCAAAAGTCAACTGTGGTGTTTCCCACTTTTTTGATTTGGATATTAAAAATATTAAAGATCATGCAAGTAACATTTTAATATACTTAAAAAGTAATAGATTACTTCCTTACACAGCATCAGAGGGTAGGTATGGTGGTAAATCCAATCAAGATAAAGAAGAGTTTCCAGAAACAGTTTATTAGCAAGATAAGCAAAACTTAAATATTAAGATTATAGCTAGAAGCTGGTGTCAGTGGCTCATGCCTGTAATCCTAGCTACTCAGGAGGTTGAGATCTGATGATAATGGTTCAAAGCCAGCCCAGACAAGGAAGTCAGTGAAACTTTTATCTCCATTAATCTCAGAAAAAGCCGGAAGTGGTGTTCTGGCTCAGGTGGTAGAGTGCTAGCCTTGAGCAAAAAGGAGCTTGGGGCAGTGCTCAGGCCTACAGTTCAAGGCCCAGGACCAGGGGTGAGGGGAGGGGGAGATTAACTAGAATTACCTTTAAAAGTACACACAGCAATTTTATGGAGTTAAACACTGCTTAGAATAGGTTCAAGTAAAGCCCAATCTGTGGTGAAATTAATTCCACTTGGCAGGAGGACAGTATTTACCCATCTAAACAGGTTTCATTCCAAAATATTTTATTCTTTCATGAGCAGTTTGTATGTTTATGACTGATCATCAAAACATCCCCAGAGCTGGGTGCCAGTGGCTCATGGTTTGAAATCAGGCTGGGCAGAAAAGTCCTAGACTCTCTTCTCTTATCTCAATTAATCACAAAAAACTGGAAGTGGAGCAGTGGCTCTAGTGGTGGCGGACTAGCCTCAAACACAAAAGCTCATGCAAGACCAGAGCTCAAGACCAGCATGCAAGACCAGAGCTCAAGCCCCAGGATCAGCAAAAACAAAACAAACCCCTCAACAAACAAAGGAAAAATCCTACAGTCTTGCTTGCTGTTTTATTGACAAGTACAGGATCACATAGGTTTTAAGAATGAAGTGACATGCTCTATCAGAAATGTTAAAAGCAAAATTTACTAGAATGATGCTGATTTCTCTCAAATTGTAAAATAAAGCACAGGATAAGTATGTCATCTGTAAGAGAGAGAATTAAATTATCAGATGTTTTAACACCTTTTAAGAAAAGTAAAGCCTAATACCTGACCTCTGTGACAGTTACACATGTCTTAATATATAAAACAGTAACAAATTTGGAATGTTGTTTTTTTTTTAAACATTTACTAATTTAAATTTTTTATTTCTTTTTTTTTTTGGGGGAGGGGTGCGGTCGTGGGGCCTAAAATCTGGGCCTGGGTGCTGTCCCTCAGCTCTTCAGCTCAAGGCTAGCGCTCTATCACTTGAGCCACAGCGCCACTTCCGGCTTTTTTTTCTTTTTGCTTAAGTGGTGCTGAGGAATCAAACCCAGGGCCTCATGCATGCAAGGTAAACGCTCTACCACTGAGCCACCTTCCCAGCCAGAGGAATGTTATTAAGTTTAAAAGGATACTTTCCCATCTACTGTAAGTCAAGATTAATTTATGGGTCCTGGATATACTTTTTTTTTTTTGGCCAGTCCTAGGACTTCAACTCATGGCCTGGGCATTGTCCCTGAGTTTCTTTTGCTCTACCACTTGAGCCACAGCGCCACTTCTGGCCTTTTTTGTTTATGTGGTACTGAGGAATGGAACTCAGGGCTTCATGCATGATAGGCACTCGCATGCAACCTCTAAGCCACATTCCCAGCCCTATACTTACATTTTAAGATGCTTGTTCTACCTGAATTACTCTATTAGAATGAACATAAGGTGCTTTTCCCATCTGTATCCACCATCTCCTGTTTCAACCAACAATCATGTGAAGTACAAAACAGCATTATTATGACACCACATCCAGATTCCAAGATCTAGATCAAAATTGTTTCTATCACATCAGTCTCCATTCATTGGCAACCTCACATGGAATAAATTTGTAACACCATTACATTTACGTTAAAAGGTCCTGTAATGCCTAAAGAACTCAGTAGCAATGCTTTATGATAATCTAGTTGAAGCTTCACATATGCAGAAGTGGCCTTCCAAGCTGCCTCTCAAACCTTGACATTATTAGGCTGCACAAAAGAAGATTATGATGAGCAGGAATATAGTTTAGAGAAAATGTTAAATGTTAAGAACTAAGAAGAAACTTTAATACTGAGGAAATTTATCCATTTACAAATGACTGAATTTTTTTCCAACAACTGCAGAAATTCTTAGCTAACATTTCAAACTGAATATGTCTAATTGAAGAAATCAATCATCGTGCTACGTGTTGCTGACTCACACTTTTTTTGGTCGGTTGTGGGGCTTGAACTCGGTGCCTTGACACTGTCCCTGAGCTCTTTTGAGTGAGTCTCTTGGAGGACTTTTCTGCCGGGGCTGGATTCTAACCCAGATCCTTAGAACTCAGGCCCGTGAGGAGGTAGGATTACAGGCATGAGCTACCAGCACCTGGCCAGCTCAAACTTCTAATTCTAGCTTCTCAGAAGGCTGAGATGTGAGGATCATAGTTCAAAGCCAGCCAGGACAGAAAAGTCGGAAGTGGAGGTGTGGCTCAAGTGGTAAGAGCTCCAACGGCCTAGTTCAAGCTCCAATAGTCACAGGCAGGCAAATAGACAAGAGACCCGAGACAAAGATAGACAGATGGACAGACGGGAGAAATCAAGTGTCAGGGGTCAGGGAAGAGCCTAACTAAACCAAAGTAAGGCTAAGAAAGCAACTGTATGGTGCGATCACATACTTCATTCACCGAACTAAGTATGCATGCACATGGCAAAAGCTGTGCCCCTGAGGAGCTGGCAGGGCAATGGCAGTTCCAACCTAATGTAGTGAAGACCCAAACAGTTTTAATGAATTTAACCCTAGTGTACTACGTTCTCCAGGGGCACCAACTACATCTGGAAAAGCCCAGCTATTATTACTATTATTATTTTTTTTGGGGGGGGGGGCCAGGTACTTAAAACAGAAAAGGTAATCTTGAAAACACGCAGAGACTCGGCTTTACAAGTACACGCCCTGCATTCTGCTTCAGCTTGTTCAGGAAGGTCTATTAGAGCTCTGAGTTACTGGTGTCGTTTCCGCGTCCATCCCCCCCCCCCCCCCCGAGGCTAACGAGGTACACCAGAGGTCCAAGTTTCTTTGTTCTGCAAAGGGGGATAGACGCTGCACGTAAATACGGAACCACCTTGACTCGTCACCGCACCCAGGCGTGAGTGTGTGTTCATCCAAAGCACACGCACCACAAACGGAAAAGGAAGAGGGGGGGGGGGGAGCAGGATTGGCAAAAGAGCCGGGCGAAGGGCGGGGACCGAGGCTGGGCGGGCCCCGGAAAGTGCCTCCGCCGGGGGGGGGGGGGGGGTTCTTCGGTGCCCCAGGCCACAGATAACCCCTGGGCTCGGTCGCCCTGGCGGCTTGTGGGCACGCGCCCCTCAGAAGAGCGTCACCGGCCCGCAGACGCGCGCCCCCAGGCCCAGCCCCAACCCACACCCGCAGCGTCCAGGCCGCCCAGGCCGCGCTCACCCCGGAGGCAGCCGGGGCCCCCTCGTCCTCTTCGCCCCTCCAGGCCGGCGACGTGGGGCTGACGGCCAGGTCGCAGAAGGTGGCACCGAGCGGAGACTGCTCCCCCTCGGTCGGCGGCAGAAACCCCAGGCCACTTCCCGGACCACAGAGGTAACAGCAGCCGTAGCAGCTGACCCGGACGCACTGACTGAGCTGTCCCGGCGGAAGTGACGACTTCCCGACTCGCTTCAGGCACCTCGGCGGGCGGAAGTGGAGGCGTGGCGTTAACCTGAGGACTCTCACAATCCCCCCCCTCTCCCCCCCCCCCCCCCCCGCCCTCAAGGCCGCCATGGGCCCGCGCATGCGCGAGCGCTTGCATTCAATTGGGCGGGAACCTTTAGCTGCTGCTGGGGGGGGGGGGGAGGGGGGGTGCAGGCGCGTGCGCACAAGTGCCCGTCCAGTTGGGCGGGAACCTTTGGCGTCGAGGCCTCCTTGGAGGCGTCTCTCTGAGGGACGGCGCGCCTCCTCTTCGTTTTTCCCTTCTGGTACGTCAGCTTTCCGTCTCCAAGAACCAGTTACATTTTTTTTTTTTCCCGGCTTACACTTAGCAATCATTGCAGTCACTGTATACTGTATAACCAAGTTCCTGAAACGAGGGGAAGAAAAATGCCTGGTGGTTCACGGCCTAGGCGGGCAGGGCCGGGCGGGGTGCGGTAGGCCTCAGGAGAATCCTGAGGTGGGTGAAAGTCTTCAAACAGCCTTGGTGTCCAGCAGTGCTGGTCAGACTTGCTGTGGGGAGCAGTTATTTATTTAGTACCTGTACTGGGGCCTGAACTCTTGGCCTGAGCGCTGTCCCTCAGTTCTTCAGCTCAAGGCTAGCGCTCTACCACTTGAGTCACAGTGCCACTTCCGGTTTCCTAGTGGTTTATTGGAGATAAGAGTCTCATGGACTTTCCTGCCCGGGCTGGCTTTGAACCGTGATCCTCAGATCTCAGCTTCCTGAGCAGCTAGGATTACAGGTGAGAGCCACCCACGGCCTGGCCTCTCTTCTCTAGTTTTTGCCGGTTAATTGGAGATAAGACTCCATTATCTCCTGATTTGTCTGCCTCAGTTAGCTTCAAACCAGGATTCCCAGATCTAACCCTCCTGAGTAGTTAGGATTATAGGCATGAGCCACTGGCACCCAGCATGAGCTGTATTTTAGTAAAATAACAGAAGAATAAAAGACAGAAGTCCCAGTCAATGGAATTCTGTGCCTCCAACAGAAAGAATGACACAGCCCCATTTGTTAGGAAATGGAAAGACTTGGAAAAAATTATATTAAGTGAAGTAAGCCCGGCCCAAAGAAACATAGGTCCCATGGTTTCCCTTATTTGCCATAACCAGTACATGTGTAGGACAAGCAGAAAAGGTCAAAAGCTATGTACATATGAGCATATAAGATGATGTTAAGCGAAATGAACCTCAAGATAGGGTCACAAATTTTTTTCTTTCTTGCTATTGTTTCTAACGTATTTATAATGTACCATGTGATTTTTTTTTTTTCTTTGTATGTTCCTCCCCCACCTTATAACCCCTGTTTTCACTGTATTTGATTCCGGTGCCCTGCATCTTGTATATACACTTCTGTAATTTGGGGTAGGGAAGGGAAAAAACAAAATGCTTAAATAGGGATATGGGTTGACCGAACTTTACAACTTTGGCAGGAGAGGGAGGTAGGTAGGGGGGTTTCTGTGGAGGTGGGAGAGAAGGGATGGTTGGGGGGAAAAAAAGAAAGGAGGAAGCAACAATGCTCAATAGGAAATGTACTCATTACCTTGCTCATGTAATGGTAACCCCTCTGTACAGTATTTTTACAATAAAAATCATACAAAAAAGTTATCGTTGAAGTCAACAGCTGTTTAGTGATCTATAAAAATGGTGTGAAGGGCTGGGAATGTGGCTTAGTGATAGTGTTTGCCTAGCATGCATGAAGCTCTGGGTTCCATTCCTCTGTACCACATAAACAGAAAAAGCCAGACGTGGCACTATGGCTCAAGTGCTCCAATGCTAGCCTTGAGCAAAAGAAGCTCAGGGACAGTACACAGACCCTTAGTTCAAGCCCCAGGACTGGCAAAGCAAACAAAAAAACAACAAAATGGCATGAAGGACCTCAGTTTCCATACTTTTCTCTCTGCACCAGTAACAAACAATTCTCGGGAAGTTGCCAAGCTGGAGAACCATACTTCCAGAAGCAGTTCTGCCAGGAAGTACTAGTTTGGAGAACTTAATCCTCTCAGAAGTTGCATTTAAAAATGTTCTTCCTCAAAGATCCATCAGTCAAGTGTTAGGGAAATTCTATTAGGGAATGGCAAATCCAAAAATTTTAAATCCTTGACCCAGAACATAACACTTCGGAGCACCTGACCAAATTTTCTCACTGTTGGTAGATGATCAAGCAATCTATGATTTATCTTTAACATAGGGGGAAATAATCTCATGGAATTTCTGTGAGAGAAAACTATATATATACATATGTATATATACACATACACATATGTGCCTACACCTATGTATGTATGTGTATATACATAGATACTCATATGTGACTAGTGTTTGCCATATTGTAAGCACATACAAGTGTTAAGCATTATTTTCTGCCTATCAATTTCCTGGTAGGGAAAACAAACTGATCAACCAAGCTTTAAGTAAACATTGGATCCACATAAGACATTCTGTCATCACAGAATTTTCATAGTTCTGAATTTTTCTTATTTCAGTCTGCAATGTGTAGGGTTCCCCACAGGGGGGCAGAAAATCATTTGAAATGTGTGTGTGTGTGTGTGTGTGTGTGTGTGTGTGTGTGTGTGTGTCTGTGTGATCTCCATTTTAGTAACTTTATCATTTAGTAAGTTTGAGCAGTGCTTGGTTTTGAGTAAGCTATTCTATTTATTTTTATATTCTCATCACATAAATAATCCATAATTATTGTTAAAATGTTAAAAACTACAGATAAGCCTCAAAGATAATTACCATGGATATCTATATCTTTCAAGATTAATGTGTATATATATGTATATATCAATTTTGCAATCTTTATAAAAATAAGGTAATGTAACTAATAGTATATAAACACTTTTTTCCTTTTCACTTAAAAAATAAATTCCTTTTCAGGTCAATAAATATATTTCAACACCATCATATTTATTAGAAATCCATTATGGCTTTTTGGCATTGGGGCTTAAACTCAGTGCACTGTATCATTTGAACCACACCTTTGGCCTGTCCCCTTTGGGAATTTTGATGAAGGTTGCATTGACTCTGTAGTTTGCTTTTGATAGTATAGCTATCTTCCCAGTTCTAATTTTTCTGATCTATGAACATAGGAGATCTTTCCATCTTCTGTTTTCTTCTTCAATTTCTTTCTTCACTATTTAGTTATCACATAGCTTTATTCCTAGTTTTTGAGGCTATTGTGAGTGGGATTGTTTTCCTGTTTTCTTAGTCTGTTCACTGTTGGTCTAAATATTGATTTTGTTTTCTGCTGCTTTACCATGTGTTTATCATATCTTGAGAGTTATGTTGGTGGAAGTTTTAGGGCTCCATCTTTAAGCATAGGATCATATCATTTGCAAATAGGAATAATTGGATTTTTTCATTTCCTATTTGTATCCATTTTATTTCTTCCTTTGGCTAAGAGTTCTAGCACTATATTGAATAAGAGTGAGGAGAGCCAGGCACCGGTGGCTCACGCCTGTAATCCTAGGTACTCAGGAGGCTGAGATCTGAGGATCACGGTTCAAAGCCAGCCCGGGCAGGAAAGTCTGTGAAACTCTTAGCTCCAATAAACCACAAGAAAACCGAAGTGGCGCTGTGGCTCAAGTGGTAGAGTGCTAGCCTTGAGCTGAAGAGCTGAGAGACAGCACTAAGGCCCAGAGTTCAAGGCCCACAACCAACAACAACAACAAAAAGAGTGAGGAGAATGGACACCATTGCCTTGTTCCTGACTTTACAGAAAAAATAGCATTTTTCCCATTTAGGATGATATTGACTGTAGATTATTGTATATAACCTTTATCAAAGAGCTATGCTCCTTTTATTCCAAGTGATTACAAGGTTTTTTTTTTTAATCGGGAAAGGATCTTGAGATTTATCAAAAGCCTTTTTTTCTGCTTCTATTGAGATAATCATATGATTTTTGTCCTTTATTTTGCATTGTATTATATTAATTTCCATATGTGAAAACATCTATGCATCCCTATAATGAAAACAACTTGATCTTGGTGTATGATCTTTTTAACGTGTTGTTGAATTTATTTTCCATGTATTATATTGAGATGTTTTGTATCTATGCTTACCAGAAAGTTGGTAGTTTTTTTTTTTATCATGTCACTATATGATTTTGATATCAAGGTAATACTGGCTTCATAGAATGAGTTTGGTTGTGTTCTTCCCTTTTCTATTTTATATTATAGTTGGGGGAGTGTTGGTGTTAGTTCCTGTTGAAGGTCTAGTAGAATTCAGCCCTGAACCCATCTGAGTCTACATTTTTCTTTCTTGGGAGGCTATTTATTACTGCTTCAATTTCATTGATTGCTATTGTTCTATTTAGGTGATTTATATCCTCTTGAATCAATTGTGGTAGGTTATACATAGCTAGAAACGTCCATTTCTTCTAGATATTCCAGTCTGTTAGAATGTAGATTTTTTTTTTTTTTTTGTCAGTCCTGGGGCTTGGACTCTGGGCCTGGGTACTGTTCCTCAGCTATTCAGCTCAAGCCTAGCGCTCTACCACTTGAGCTACAGCACCACTTCCTATTTTCTAGTGGTCTATTGGAGATAAGAGTCTTACAGACTTTCCTGCCTAGACTAGCTTTGAGCCATGATTCTCAGATCTCAGCCTCCTGAGCTGAGAGCTGGTGAGCCACTGGCGCCTGGCTAGAATATAGATTTTTAAAATATTCTCTAAGGGACCTCTAGATTTATTGTGTCTCCCTTTTTATTTCTAATTTTATTAATTTGGATTTTCTCTTTTGATTAATTTGGCTAAAAGTTTGTCAATCTTGTTTATCTGTTTAAAGAGCCAAATTTTTATTTCATTGATTCCTTGTTTTGTTACCTTCTGCCCCGATATATTTTTTTCCATCTACAAATTCTAGATTTTGACTAGTTCTTGTTTTTCCAAGAGCTTAAACTACACTATTAGATTACTTAGTCAAAATTTCTCTGACTTTTGA